AAAAAAAACATACCTATATCTTTAAATTCTCTATAACAAATTTTTCTAAAGTAAAGAATCAATTTCGATTGTGTATACTTATTGAAAAAAAACAATCCTAAAGGCTTGTCATCGTCAAAACAAATTTTCTTTTTGTCACTATTCAAAGGTTTCAAACGATAGAAAAAGAAAACGAAGTGAGAAGCATTTTATCTGTATTCATTTATTTGAATTATTCAAACGGAAATCTTCAAGCATTTATCAACCTTAACTTTTTGATACAAAAATCACAGGTAATAATGCTGAAAATCAAATGAAAATATAATATTTCATCTACTTTTGTTCATTTTTTTTACTTTTTCACAAAGCATTTGTTTATTTTTACAAATAGCATGCATAAAGACACTTCAGTTACCGTTTGAAATAATCATTTCTTTCGTTTTTCAGTTAGGTAGAAACAACGAAATATGGCATCAAATCCCCATGTTCAAAATCGTAACAAACATTATGATCTTGCACTGAAACGTCAATTAATATCACTTGATCGTAAATGTGAACAAAGTTTATCAACAATTAAAAAAACTGAACAGGCAATTCGTCATGAAAGTAAAAAAATCGCGATTTGTAGTCGACAAAAAAGTGCGATTCGACCACATGAAATACGTATGGGTGAAAATCAACCACCAGTTGTTAATCAACAGCCTGTTATTAATCAAAAAAAACGTACTTATTCCAATGATTATTCAAATGAAAACGTACGTTCATCACCAATGAATGATATTAAAAATAAACAATATCAATATGCTGAAAAAACATCTCCGTATGCAACAAAATTTTTACGTTTATGCACAAATGCACATCGTTTACCGCCGGTAGTAAAATCACATATACCACCACTAAAACAACAAAGATTAAATAAAGATACACATTGGACAAGTAGTTATCAAGCAAGTACTAAAGACGGTGAAAGTGTTAGTGATATAATTTCACTTTTAAATGAACAATTATCTAAAAGATCTGTGGTAGACATGACAAATATGGATGAACAGGTTCATTCATTTATAGAACAATTACCAACTTATGAAGGTATTCAACAAGGTTTTGATAACTTTGGCCCATCATCACGTCATTCAATTCCGGCGGCAGTTGCTATGAGATAAAGAAAAACAAAAGAATATTTTGGATACATATTTTATAAGACAAAAAAACATTGCATCTAGTCATCTGGCTAATTTTCATAGACATTTTTTAGTTCGTCTTATAATTATGCTTATTAAACTATGAACTTATTCGAAAGAATGTTGTCTTCGATGACATGTTTTTTCTTTTTTTTTACTTAATTTTATTCTTATCAACAAGTAATCAAATGATCAAATTCATTCTTACAAGATTTTTTTCTCTTTTTTACTTCGAGATAAGAAAACAAAATTAAACATTAATCGATTATGCATATTTTTTAATAAATAACAAAAAAAAAAAAGAAAAATTTGTCTCTTTAACAATGTCGTGCAAAATAACCACGTTGTTGACATGCATATATACGACGGATATCATTGCGAAAGTTCACATTAAAAAATGAATAAATAAGTGGATTACACTAAAATAGAAACAACAAGATTATATTTCAAACTAATATTTCTAAACTTACTGCACTATTAATATAATATAATAAGAATAAAACTTCACGAAATTCATATGGTTTTATATCAAATAAAGTAATTATTATAGATGGTAAATATATAACAATAAATGTTGCTGTAACAATAAATAATGTTAATGTTGTTCGAATATTTGCTAGACGTTCTTGTTTTTGTTGTCGTTCAAAAATACGTTTAGTTTCACCATCAAATATTGATCCACGACGTGTCGATGAAATTGAATTTCGTATTGGACTAATTGGTGAAGATGGAGGCGATAATGAATACGTATTATTTAAATGAATTGTTAATTGTTGATTTGTACTTGGAGGATCTTCAATAATACAACGATCAGCAACTCCTGCTGATGGAACTGAAAAAAAGAGAATTTTTGCAATTGCTTATTATTGAAAAGATTCTTACCAAATGAAACTTTTCTTTGTAGAAGTGATACATCTGATGGTCGTTGTTGTTGTCGAATTGATAATGTATTATTTGTTTTTCTTCCCATTGTTGGATGAAGTAAATTAGTCGATTGTGATATATTTGCTATTGATTCACTCTCATTTAAATGATTATCTTTATTATTAATTTCATTTGAACTAGGTGATAATGTTATTTGTGGTCCAGGTACTGTTAAATATGTTGAATTATTTGGTGAAATAGGTTTTGATTTAGTTGTTTGTTCATATGAATCATCAGTTGATGTTGATGGTCGACTTAATAATGATTGTTCCATGCCGCAAAATGTTGTTGCAGCTATAGAATTAATTCTTGAACGTATTAAATTTGATGATGATGTATCATCCCAAATTCCACTTGTAAAATATGTCATTGATGTCATTGATACAGCTGAATAACGTTTACCACGTGCACCATTTATTTCTAAAATAATTTGTTCAGGTCTTTTCTTCGATGTAGATGATTTATTATTTCGAAAAAATTTTTTATTTCGTTGATTACCACTCGATGATCGATATATTATTGATTCATTTGATGATCGTCGTTGTATTTTTTTACAACAATAACAACAAATATTTGTTAATAATGAATGACGACAACTATGTTTACGATCATTTTCATTATTTATTAAATATGATTGCAGAATTTTTCTATAAGTTGAAAATCGTTTTGTTCGTGTACGACGACGTTGATATATTGCATTATATATAAATGAATAAAGTATTAATACAAGTACAATACATATAGCAAATAATGTACTATGAAATACTCGATATATAGTTAAAAAATTTGATAAATAAACATCGGTTTCTAGAAAAAACAAATTAAAATAAAATTTCAAAGTTCTATTAACTTACGTAAACTAAATTGTGGACTACATTTAACATTTGTTATATTACCAAGTGTAAATGGTAGTTCTGATATACTTGTTTTTATATTTTCAACATGTGTATAAACTGGTAATTCATATTCATCAGTTGATGCATCAAATAATAAATGTTGTGAATGATTATTATGAAGATGTAACATATGTTCTTTTGTAGAATATTCACTCATCGGTATAATAGCTAAGAAAAAAATGCGAATTATTCATTTTTTGTTATTTTATTGAAAGAAAAATTCTTACCGAATAATGATGATAATAGACCACATATAACAACTATAGCACGTGCACGATAAATAGTTATGATTTTAAATAATGGCCAACATATACAAAAATAACGATCGAATGCAATTATTGTTATAAGAAGTGTTGAATAGAGAACATGTGTAGTTAGAAAACCATAGACTTTACATAAGAATTCATTTCGAATACCTATAAAGAAAATTTTTGAATTAAACTCATTTTATTTCATATATGGGATTATTACAATTAGATATTCAGACTTTTTAAGCTTCCATCTTATCAATTTATAGTTCGAGTTAAATCCAATCGTGATCTTTAGAAAAATATGTAAATAAGATTTTTCCTATTGAAATTAACTATGAATAATTCCTAGTGGTAATTTAAAGGTTGACTTTATAATAGAAATGTTCTCTTACAGAAATGATTAAAAACATTCGTGATTGCTTTTGTCAAACTACGAATTAATTCTAAAAAGGTTCAACGGAAGTAATCATAGAAATTGTGTCTGTTAGTTATACCATAGTATTTAATAGGCTAAAAAACTAGAGACAAGAATTTTCGATAGAAGGTTATATCAAGATCTTTCAATAAGAGAAATGATGTCAATAATCTTTCGTATATTTTAATTATGGATGAACAGTTTTAGTAAACCATTCAATGCTTCGGTGGATTCAGTATCTGCTCGTTCCTGATTTCAATAGGTCGAAATGTCTATTGAAAAAAGTACTGAAGCATTCTGATGAAATAAAAATTATTAATTATAATATTTACTTGAAGACAAGACAGAATTTTTTTTTCTTGTAATCTTAACATATGGAACTGTTTTCTCTTTCTTACTAATTAAATAAAAAGAAAATGGAAAGTACTTTTAACTATACGAACGCAAGGTCAAGAAAAATTACTCATATTAATATTACTCACCTGTTGTAGTTTGATATAATTCTAATGGTGCCAAAATTAAACATATTATTAAATCAACAATAGCTAACATTTTAATAAAAAATGTACATGTCTTATTATCATTTCGATTGATATAAATATAAAGTACAAGAATGTTTCCAATTGAACCAAAAACAATAGTAATCATTAAAATAGTCCATATAGCAACAAATATAAATAAATGTAATAAATGATTGTTAGTTGAATATTCATCTTCAGTAGATGTTTGATTCGATATATAAAATGATGATAATGATGAATGATAGAGGACTGTTCCCATGGATAAATGATTACTATGTATTTTGTTTCTTAATCTAAGAATGTAGTAAAAACAAATATATATAATGTTATTTTCAAAGTTCTGATTGATAATAATAAGAAAAAAACTAAATATATCCATAGTAACATACACTTCCTTACTGCACGATGATGAAAGAAAAATTTGATCTTGAGATTTATTCTCTATATGATTATATATATATATATTTAGTAAAACTATATTTTATTTCTTTCTTCAACCTTTCTCGTTGTTTTTTTCTCTATTTAATATTTGCCTTAATTATACTGACTAGGAGCATTCTGTGTTTCTGTCTTTATCTTTTTTAACTTGTTTGTGATAGTAAGTAATATATCTATGCTAATATTATCTGAAGAACGTAGACATACATAAAATATAGTGACATTATCTACACTTATTCACTATTGATGAAACTTACTATAGAAATAATAATATTCGGGAAGTTTTCAAAACTGTCTAATAGCGAAGTCTAGGAATAAACAATGACCAATAAGACCATCCAAAATAAAGGAAATGTACGTGATGCAGCATCTTTTAAGACAAAGTCAATTAAAATAATCGTCAATAGAGAAAAATGAAGGAGGTCTATGTTAGAATAAAAGCAAAAGGCTGTCTATTTCACGCATGTCTTCTCAACTAGATTAGTTTTTTCAATGTACAGACACACACACGTTCATAAACGCTTGGGAAATAGAGAAAATTGAGTTCTTCTATGTAGTTGATCACTATTTCTTTATTATCTCATTGAAATAACCTATTCTATCAGTGAAACATGAATATACAAAAGAAGAAAAGAAAACTATAAGGAAATTCAATTATTCTCTTTTTTATACATCTCGACAACGTTTTTATTCATGTAAATATAATATCTTTCTTTAAATATATAATAATAAATAATAAAGATTTATAAAGCTTAGACAATCTAGTCAGAAAAAAGGAGAATCTGATGTTGACATAACAATTTTAGTTAGTTAAAATACTTGACTAGATTTGTAGGTGAGTTGTAGTTAATGAAAAAATTACACGAACATAAAACAAAGTGTCAATATCGGAAGCATGCGTGAAAGACCTAGGCATTCATACATCTGTCATGAACATAAAAAATATATAAGCTATTATAAAAGCGAAAATGAGAAGAAAAAAAAGAAAGATTATAACATACAAAACGGAAGCTGTTTTCTTGTTCTTTCTTTATACTGACATTATTTTTTTTTATATAATATCATCAAACATCATAGTCAACATGTCATTTTCTCTTCCTTTGACGACACTTTTTTCTTACAAAAAAAAAGTCATCATATTAAAGTTTTACTATTCAACATCAGTATTATTTAAAAACTTCCTTTTTCTTATATGTGTATATAATGCTTGAATAAGTTAGTTTCAATAGAATCTTTAAGCTGAATAATACCAGATGTATGTCTTCTTCTTCTTCTTTTTGTTTTGTTTTGTTTTGTTATTTCACACTATATTGGTTTATTTGAAAAGAAAAGTAAAACAAATTTTATTTATATAATACTTGTTTATAATGAAATATGATGTTAATAATACTAGTATATAGATGATAATAATAATAGAGATTTACCAATCGAACTGAATTTAACAGTCATCTATTGTTCTTTTTATAGGATGTATTCAGAATAAATTACTCGTTTCTGTTATATCTTATTCATATTTAAACTAAAAGTGGGATGAATAAATAACGGAGCATATTTGATGAACATGCGAAAAATAGAATGACTAAGAAGATCAGTCATATATATATAAATGTATTTTTATCTTTTGCGATGTAGACATTTGAATAAAAATGATGATATGTATATTTAGAAAAAAGAAAAAATTTGTTAGTAAATCATAATGAACTTACATATTTTAACAAGTATTTTATCATTATAAATCAGAGATTAAGTATATGTTTTGACGCTTTCTAACATCTACTCTAGTGTACATCGAGGAAAACTAATAGAATAACGGAAAAGTGAAAGATTGAGAGAGAAAGAAAAGAAGAATAGACAAGCAGTTCTATCGAGATCAGTTTTCTAAGAAGTATTGCTCTCATACACTTACTAAGTGACATTGACACGAAAAAAAAAGAAGAGGAAAAATATGGCTAAAGATTAGTAGTAAAATCCATTAATATTAAGAATTTGTTCGCTTGTTGTTTTTCCTCCTCGTCGTCTTTACAGATATGAATTGACAGGTGTAGGGAATCTATTGATAATAATTATTTTATAGATGATTATAAGAAGAAAAATTACTGAAGAGACTATTTTATTGTTTTTATAAGCATATATCTTATATGCGAACATCTAACATGCAAATGAGATTTTCCATTGATGTAGATAAGAATTGAAATAATAGAGAAAAATAGATTATGCATCATTCTATTATTCGGAACAAAAAGCTAAGAAAGTATACAAAAAAAAACTATGTTATCTGTTATTTTTACATTGAATACATTATCAAATAGAAAATATGTAAAGATTAAATTATTTTCAACAAAACCATACGGTATATTTTTTAGATAATGAATTGAAATGAAACCAAATATATTCAAGAGAATTCATCTCGACATGTTTTTTTTAAATATCTCGTCTATTAATAAAATTTCATATGTTGTTGTACTTTTAATTACTTAGTTTTACTATAGGCAAGAATCCAAGCAAAAATAAAGATAACTTATATATGTATCAAAAATCTATTGGGTCATTTTTGTTTTGATAACAAGAATAAATATTCTCATTTAATACTAAATCAAACGACACAATACTTCTCTCTTCGTTAAATATTAACGTCGAAGAATCACGCTATAGAATAATAAAAGAATTAGTTCGTCAGTTTTGTTGAACTACGTGCTAGAATCAATCAAAAAAATCCATATATTATAACTCTACATTTGGATAGTTTTTCAATTCTTTATCTAATCAGACCGATCACGAAATTATCTTTTATTTAGTTATTTCATATAGATTTTCTCTATGACATAACAATTAACTGATATAAAGCTTGTACTAAATCAAATAATAGATTTTGATTTCAATATTTTCTTAGAATGCTAATGCTCGTACTTATGCACTTAAAACATATAAATACTTCATAGGACCTTGGAGAAACTATTCTTGACAAAATAGGCGTTTTTAATCATAATCATCAACAGAAAAGTGATACACTTCTGTATAATTACTATTATTATTACAAAATCTTACATTGCCTAAATGTATATTATAATTTGAATGGATAAAAGTGTAAAGAGTATACATTTCTATCAGGTCAATTGTCTGACGTCATTATAAACGCTCCTATTCATATAATCAACGATTCTTGACGTCTACGGTTCATGAGATATATGACGCAAACAGTTAATTATAATTGCATGTTTTATAATGTATAGTAGAAGTAATTATTCAAAGTTAAGATCTAATTAAAGAATTTTTATCTATAAATACATCTTTGGATTTATCTCGATTGAATAAAATATTCCCTCTCATCAATTACAATACAATATAGTTTTTGTAAGGTTTTTATTTAATAGCATCTTAATAAAAAATGATCATTTTTTAACAAAGAACAAAACAAAACGAAATATGTATCTACTAGTTCATAGCAATGAAAAAATCTAAAACAATCAATTTAAATTGCTGGTGTTGTTACTTCTTCTTCTTCTTCACGCTAAAATAAAATCAATAAAAAATATAATTGAATATGAATTTATGAAATATTTACTTCAGCTGAAGATAATTCTTCTTCTTTGCTGGTTTCATCGTCAAGATCTGTGACTATAAATTAAAAAATGATTGAATTCAAAAAGGAATATTCTCTTTACCATCGGATTTTTCTAATAATTTCAATAATGGATCAGTTGATGGAGTTGTATGTTCAACATGTTTGTCATCATGATGTGTTGTATTTAATATTTTTTGATGAACTTGTTCAAGATCTAAATATATACATACATATTTTTTCGAAATTAAATTAAAAAAGAATTAACATACTGATATTACGAACAATATAAGTGAAAACTGTTGTTTCAATATCACTAGAACCATCAATAACACATGAATACATGCGTTCAGGAGTAGTACGATTAAGTGATAATTCAATTGAATAATCAGTAAGTGAACGTGGGAATATACGACGAAGTCGATCACCATTAAATTGATTAGTTGGAAGATGTTCATTGATAAGAAGACTGTTTACTGGTGCTTCACCAACAACCCAGAATACGCTTACTGGACCTTGAATTTAATTACAAAATCAAAAGTTGATATTTTCGTATATTATCATTTAAAGAAAATTTCTTACGGTTAAATGTTTTGACAACGCATTGAAGAAATGATGTTTGATAAGCTTCAATTACTGTTGGTGAACTTGTACGCATTGCTGTGAAACATGGTAATCCACCAGCACTTGAATGACAGAGACGAGGTGCTATTAAATTAAGAAAAAATTAATATTTATATTTTTTATTGAAATAATAACGAACCAATTAATTGAAGGTTATAGTAGAGTGATGAAGATTTTGAATCATCAGCAAAAAGAAAATTTTCCATACGTTCTATAGGATCCATTGTCCATGGACGAATGACACAACGATAGATACCAGTGTCATCAACATTAACATAGGGTAATAAAATAGTTGCATCAATAATATCTGTTTCATTAAAATTTTTTGAATATGGTGTTAAAGTTGAAAGGAAACGAAGAGCAGTTGGACGAACTGGAGGATATACTGGATAAATTTTAATATTAACCAATTTTTGTGGATCACTATACCACCATTCAATGGTAGAACCTAAAATTTCTAGAAAAGATTAATTCAAAATCGATTAATTAAACTATTTCTTACGTTTAGAACGAGCAACATGACAAGGTAATACAACACTACCACTAGTTGTACGTAATGGAACTGGATTAATTGCTGCTTCAAGAAAACATGGTGTATCTTTATCGTCAATTGATGTTAAATTACTGCAAAATTGAGCAGTTGATGATAAAAACTAAATTTAAAAAATATATTGACTTATTTTTTTATTTATAGAAATTTCTTACTGTTATTAATAAAACGCAAGAGCAAAGACTAAAAGATCGGTAGTTAAGAAACATTTCTGCGTCTAATCCGCACGTTCGACTAGTAAGAAATGAAAAACTGATAACTATACAAGTGATTATATCTACTTTCTTCTAGGATTAAACAAAGAAGATATATCCATATATATATATATGTCTTATGTATGAATATCATTCGATCCAGTATTAGAACGAAGCGAAAGAAATACATGTGCTTATATCGAGGGTTTAATGTGACTTTCATGTGTAAGTATATAGTTAACTTTCCAATGAATATTTTTATATATGAATCACGTATTTCGAACATTTTCATAGTATTAAGGACATGTGTAATGCTAAGAAAGACGTTCCACATCTTTTCATTTCGAATTGTACACAAGTCAAATTTTCTAATTTAATTACATTTTATTGTCGATGACAGTTTGTTGAAGTTGAATTTTAAACTCTAATATAAATCTTGATTGACAACCAATTCAATTCATTTTTATTAATAATGAAGTATTCAACAGAATATTATACAACTTTTAATATTGCATACATGCTTTGCACGCAAAAATTTTATAGGAGAAAGTAAATTACAATCCTGTTTGTTTCAAATGTAATATACCAGAACAAGTGCTTATTTCTTGCATGAATAACCTTTCGATTAGGATATAATCTTCAAATTAATATATATTTCATTTTTTATTACAAATGTAACTACGTATATATGTGTCATAAGATTTCTTTCCTGATGTTTCTAGTAAACAATTGAATGTTTCTTTGTAACAACGAAAAAAAAGAAAGTACGCTTGGATACCTTTGAATACCGACATAAATACTTCAATTCACATGATTATTCATTGATACGTTACAAAGTATATGTGCCATATGGCGACGAAATGTTTGTACTTTTCTTGAAAAGGAGTGATGTGTTGAAGTATATCTGAACATTGTCAATAAAGAATGTATGACTTCAAAATTCCATTCGTTGTCCTTTTTTTTCTCTCTCCTCCTTTATAAACATTCTTCAAACTTTCTTTTTTCTTCGTTATCCAATCAATCATTCATTTTTATTCTCAAAATAATTGCTGAAATCTTACAAGAATTTTTTCGTTCTCTTTCATGAGCTCGAGGTAGTCATTAGTTGTATATATTTATTTGTTCATAGTAAGGATATAAAAGGGTTTTGATTGATTGAACGAACATGATCGCAAGTAGCTCAATAAACACCTATGAAGGTCGATTGTTTAAGAGTTCTATACCACTTTTGTAATGTTTCTACTAACAAAAATGTAGTAGCGAAAGTTTTTTTTCTCTTTTACTAATTCACACACACATATATATATATATATATATATATATGCATTAAACTATCGAATACAGAAGAAGAAGAAAGAAAAGAGTATGAGCTCTTTGCTTTTCTTTTCTCTTCTCTTTTTTCTTCTATGTCAAATGAAAAAAAAACTTTTTTTTTCCAAACACTTGTGCATTATTGAGTCGAAGAGAAAAGGAAAAGGTTGAGTTCTTTTTTTTTGTAGAGATTTAAATCAGTCATGTTTTTTCTCATCGGTTTCGGATGGCATGTAGCTGCCAGTTTTGCATTTGTTCTTGCTATTTTATCTCCCAATTGGTTAACTGTTCAAACAGTACCATCATTAGGAAGTTTTCAAATTCAACGAGGTGTTTTTTATGTATGTGATTTGGTTGCACAGAATAGTACATTTACAACAACTCGATGTGCATCCATTATTGGAGTAGATTCATCACTCAATTCAACAGGTCGATGGAGTTATAGTAAGTCATATTCTTCTTTATTATTTTTAATGAACCTAATTATTAATAATCTATTATAGACTTTGCTATTTCATCGGCAGCCATTGCTATTGGATGTGCTGGACTCAGTATTATTGTCTTATGGTTATCTGGCATCTATTTTAATGTTCGTAAAAAAAATTCATGTACAACATGTTTTTTACTAAGTATCTGCTTATTACTTTTACTTACCTGTAAGTAAATAGCTCAAAAATAATATTTAAATAGAAACCCTTTTTATTCTATTAGTCTGTGCATCATTTGTCGTTTGGATTTTACTTATATCTGAAACTCTGACAATGGGTTATTCAGTTAATCGTTCAATATTCAATTGGCCAATGTGGTTAGCTGTTGGTGCAACAGGTGGCTATTTAATGGCATTATTAACAATGCTTTTTTCATTTTGTGCAGTAGTTTGTCATGGACGCAAAGAAGATCGAAGTTTAAATTATGCAGCAAATAAATTTTGAAAATTTTTAATCTTCCTCTTTTTCTTCCCTCACTACTTTTTCTTATTTTTATTTCTTTACAATCAAATAAAATATATTATTTCAAATTGGACGGATATGAATTTTTTTTTATTTCAAAAGAGATTTATTTTGTTTTTAACAATGTTTACAAGCAGTTATAAGATAAATGAAAAAAGAATAGAAATAAGCACCAGATGCGCCTATATTAATCCATAATGAAAATCCGAAATCTTCAAGTCGAACGGTTTTAATATTCGTATCATTTTGATGCAAATTTGTTGTTAACATAATTGCCCAAACACCGCAAGACAAGACAACTAAAAATAAAAGAATATAATAATAGTTTTCGTAGTAAAAATCTACATACAACTAAGAAAAACACAAATAGTTGTTAAGATAAGTATCCATTTTGAGCCAATATCATCTGAATATCGTTGAATATACCATGAACCAAATAAAAGACCTATTAGACTTATTCCAGCACAAGCAATAGCTGTCGAAGCAACAAGTATTGGAAAAACTGAAATAGGAAAATTTTAGTTTACTAAATAATCTATGAAATCTTTACTTGTTCGAATTGTTATATTATCTGATGTTGGTAGAAGTGTCCAACGACATGAATATGGATTTATAGTACATATATCAAAAACATTTCGTTGTATTTGATCATTCGGAGATGTATACCAACTTGGTAAGAGCACAGCTGTAGCGAATGCCAATGTAGCTATTACTAAAATATGATGTCCATGTAGAGCCAACGACATATTCTCGTATTTCTATTCAACTAAACCAAAATGGTGAAGTTCTCCTGTGTCAATCTCTTGTTTCTCTCTTCCTCATCTCCTTTTTTTTCTCTTCACGATGTCCTCGTCTTAATGTCACCAAGCAAGCATCATTTTCTCTCTTACATTCTCTGTACTTTTTATAATCTAGTCACGACATTTTATCTTTTTTTGTGTCATTTCCCGACGACGAGATTGTTGCAGTAATAGTAAGAAGAAAAAAAAGAAGAATATATATTCTAAAATATGTATGTGTTGCTTTTTTTTAATCCAACACATCTCGATTTTCCCTTGGACGGATTTACAGTTTCTGTTCAGTGACTGGAATAATTTTTTCTTCTTCTTCTATAGCGCAACTATGAAAGTTATTAGGAATAATAAAAAAAATGTAAATAATACTTGTTAATATTCAAATTGATAGAAGGCTTTTATTGATAATAAAAAGCAAAATTCGATTTTGTTATCTATGTAAACTATGAACTGTCTAAATGTCATTGATCGATACATAGTATACTATCATTCGAATACAAATGAATCATCATATGTGTCATATTGTTTGACTTGACAACATCAATAGAAAGAATAACAGATGGTAAATTTCATTTCCGCTAATCAAATCTCTTTATGACAGAATTAAGATCTATGCGAGACCTTCAATTATGTATATTATGCCAATTACAAAGTAAGATTATGATGAATCATCCCCATCAAATATGACATATCTTTTCAAATAAGTTATTTTTATTCAAAGTACATAATTCAAATGAATCATCATCGTTTTTCTGCTTCTTTAGAATTATCGAAGCTTAAAAATTCATTTGCACTGCATGAGCGCAGATATATATATTTTTATTATGAAATTTTTTCACGTTGAAAAATTGTTTTTGATATATAATCTTTAGCTGGACCTTTAACGGTATATGTTATTTCGAATTTTGTTAAATTTGTCCCATTTAATCGAAATAAATAAGAAACAGAATAATGATCTTGACTACATAAATGTTCACCAGATGCTATCCAACCATCATTTGATGGTGATTGAAAATGAATTGTATGAAAAAGTGATCCACGTTTATTTTTATCATCAACAAAATAAACTGTCATAAGATCTTTATCTTCATCATATACATAAATATATTTTTGTGTAATATCCAACGGTATTTGTGATGATAAAATTAATTTTCCTTGTTCTTTATAAAGAAGTTCTTGTTGTTGAGAATAATGAAATTCTGCTTGACCATGAACAGTACCATCAGCAGGTTTACCTGTTAATATTCGTTCAAATGACCATTTACTTTCATGTAATGCACGAAAAATAGCACCAGCGATAAATCGACCATGATTTGCTTCTTCACATATAGAATTCATTTCATCAATAACTGTTTTATCCGATCCATTAGCTTGATATTGTGTTGGTATAACAATATCATGCGTATTTGAAGATGCTGTTGGAAGTACTTCTTTTGCTAAATCATTAACAACACCAACATAATCACCATGTGGAAATTGCGGTCGTGGTTGTTGAGTACGTATACGATGTTCCATATCAAGACCTATCTGTTGTATAGTAATGGATGGAATTGATAAGAGACCAGAAAATGTTGCAGCAACCCAACGAGATTGTAATTCAATAATTGCCCAGAACGGGCCTCGATACATACCAATAAAAGCAAGATTAGGTAATGTCGGATGGAAAATACTACGATGAAGTATTATTGGACAAAATACATCATCTGGTATATAAGATAATTGTTCTAAAATATCTTGAGAGAAAAAGTCAAGACATGGTCGATAACCAGTACATAAAATTATAATATCATCACAAGTAGTCTCGATTGATGCTCCATTGTTTAATATTAACGAAAATATCCAATCAGGACGTTCGTTGATGGGCGGCGCTATCAGAAAATGAATGTTACCTTTCGTTTCGAATATTCTTTATGATTCATCCCAATGTTCTATTATCTTTTACTTCAGTTAATCGTCCTTGTTTTAAAACTATTTTACCTGCACGATTCCATTCATTATATGTATCAGAAATAGCAATAAATGCTGGTTGTTCATCATTCGTATTGATAAATTTCGATGATTCTTGACTATTGTCTGTTATTAATTTTAAATAATCATTCATTTTTTTATAATCATCATTATTTCGAAATAAATTTTCTTGACTAGATATTCGTTTTGATTGACGATAGAAAACAAAATCAATGGGCAGAAATGGTGAAATTGGATTATTTAGTATTAATGGTATAAAACGAGGTAAACACCAAAAATTCTGTGATATAACATGAGTAATATGTTTAGCAGTTGTTGCCATATCAGAAGCAACTTGTGCTGCACTCATTGACGAACCAACAATTATAACATTTTTATCACGGACTTGTTCTGGTGAACGATAATCAGAACTATGTATTAATGTACCATGAAATGATGAAAGATTAATTATATTTGGTATATATGGATAATCAAAGAAACCTGATGCAACAATAACAAAATCAAATTGTTCAGATGAAATATCATTCGAATTTGTACAATATTTTATTGTCCATTTATTATTAGAATATGTAATATTTTTTACTTGAGTATTGAATCGAAATATATCTTTATTAGGTAAGGATTGTTGAATATAATTTGTTAAATATACATAAACATCTTTTTGACTAGGAAATAAAGGTGTATCCTTTGGCCAAGCAAAATCAGATAATGCTGTCGAAAATTTCGAAATATTTGTTTGCATTGAATTCCAACATGGCCTTATATTAACATTCCACATACCACCTAAATCTGATGCTTTATCAAAAACAATCGGTTGAATACCAGCTCTATACATATGAACGGCTGATACAAGACCTGACACACCAGCACCAATAATAGCTACATTTTTTTGAGAAGAATTTGACATTTCTATTCGAAAGATCAAATGTAAATTAATCTATTTATTATTTTAAAGATTTAGGTCTATATAAAGGTATCAAAAGGCATACATGGCGACATGTATCATGTGAGTGTTTTTTCTTTCTTATCGAGATATATATATAGAAATGCATAAATTTTATAAAAGATGAGTCATAAATGACGCTTCTTGTTGACGAATAAAATATGATGTTACTAATTAAGCATCAAATTACAGAATATTTAATGTAATCTTTTCTTAAGAAGGTTAACAAGTACTTTTAATCTAGTATACTTTGAAAATTAAATATAAGACACATCTCTTAAAAATTACGTATCACTAAGTTAGTCATAGTTTATGATATTGCAGAGAAAAGTTCATTTATGACCTGGAAAAACTCCTTTTTTTTCTTTATGAGTCATTCGTATTAGATTTTGCATTCTAGTTCGGTCATTGAATTTTTGCTGCTACAAGATAGAAATACAATGTGATGAATGGACAACCATAAAATACATTCCCATTAGAATTATACTACGGTACACTTCATTTTTTCTACTTTTTATAAAGAAACAGGATGTACTTCAAGATTTTCGGTGAATTCAGAAGCTCGGCATGTGATTATTAAGCACTTCCTGTTTCGTCACGGTGAATGAAAAACACGTTGTACGATCTTGTGACATTCTTAGATCTTTTAGAATGAAGTACTTGATGATCGTTTCTGATTAAAATAATAGTAAACATTTTTTTGCTGATTTAGCGGCTCCTATTGAGTTTGTTTTTCTTTATATGGAATGTTTTTATTACAGCATTAAAATAAATTTTCATTTAAAAAAAAAACAAATACAGTTGCTGGAATGTTTTCATTTATTTATATGATTATTTCAATAAGTAGTTATATACAAAAAAACAGAAGAAGAGGAACTATTGCTTGTACTTGAATTGTAAATCAGTATATAAGCACACAAAAGCGTCTATATACTAAGTTGAAGGACA